GCGGCGGCGCGGCCGCCCCGTGCTCCGCATCCGCGGCCCGATGAGCTGCGCTGCGCTGCGCGGAGGGAGCCCTGCGCCGAGGGGAGCGCTGCGCCGAGGGGAGCGCTGCGCCGAGGGGAGCGCTGCGCCGAGGGGAGCGCTGCGCCGAGGCAGCCGAGCGCGCAGCCGAGCGCGCAGCCGAGCGCGCAGCGCCGCAGTCCGGGCCGCGCCCGCCCCGCTTTTCATTCACAAAAAACAAGCGGCCGGCCGAGGCCCCGCCCCCGCCCCCCCCCGCCGCCCATTGGCTGCCACGCACCGGAGGGGAGGGGGGCGCAGGCGGGTGCTGCGGAGAACCGAGACCCCCCCGGGGCCCCCCCCGCTCGGCCCCGGTGCGCGGCTCCCCGGTCCTGCACCCCGAGCGGCCAGCGCGGGGGCAGCCGCGCTTTGCATCTCCGCTGCTGCCCCCAGTGCCGCCCCCCGGCCCTGCGGCGGTGCGGGGACGTGGGGGGCTCCGGGGGGGCCCTGCCGGGGACACTGCTACTAGGGCACCGTGCCCCACGCAGGGACAAGGGGACTCTGCCAAAGCCCGAGTCACGTTGGCCGCGGGGCCGGGGCGCGCGCGGGGCCGCATCATGTGACGGTCCCCAGCCCCGCTGCGCCTGCCCGGCCGCCCGCTCTGCCCTGCGCCGCTGCTGATGCAATGCAGCGTCAGGCGGCGTCAGCGGCGCCCCGGCCCGCTGCGGCCTCGCCGGCCTCGCGCCGCCCGCGTCGCTCCCGCCGCAGCAGCGGCAGCCGCGCGGCTGCAAGAGGGGCCCGAGGGCCGCGGCCGCTCGCCGCGCGGGGCTGGTGCACACGCTGTGCGGGCGCAGGGAGGGGACGTGGGGCCCGGGTGCCAGCCGTGGGAGTTGGCTGCTGTGTGGCCTCGGGGCAGGTGTTTAATCGTGGCCTGAAAGCTGCTGGCAGCCCTGGGCCAGCTGAGTTCCCCGGCCCCCGCTCCGGCTCCAGCACTAAACAAAAGGGCGATTGTGATTCCCACGTAGCGCGGCCAGGCCCCACACTCAGATAGCAGGGCCACGGGGCTCCGAGCAGGGAGGGAGCTGGGGCGGATGGCAGGGAGGGCGCCCGGCCCTGGCGCTGCAGGGCTCGGGGGATCAAACTGCCAGCTCTGCAAGCCTGGGACCAAGCGGCAGCTGCTTGCGGCTTGTGCAGGAAGGACTGTCCTTCCACGCTGCAATTCCTGTAGCTCCCAGGCAAAGCTTCCTGTGGCACCCGGCACGCCGCTCCCGGCACAAAGGTGCCCAGGTTGAACCTGAGCAAAGTCCAAACGGGTCTTGGAGTGGCGCGGCCAGAGGGATGTGCTCCGAGGGGCCGGGACGTGGAGCAGAGCAGTGCCACGACACCCAAGGGACCAGCCACCGCTGCCAACCCCTGGAGCCCCCAGCGTGCCAGGCACCACCGGGGGCACCCAGGGATGGGGCTGCCAACAGATGTATTGCGCTGCAACAGGTTGCATGGGAGTCGGGGAGCAAAGTGCTGGGAAAAGTGCCTAGGAAAAGCGAGCGGGAAGGGCTGTGTGCCTAGTGCCTGCGGCCATGCCCGTACTCACAGGCTGCGCGCCATCGCTGCCATCCTCACACCACGGCGGCCTTTCCCTTGCGTTTCCATCTCTTTCTCCTGGCCGGTCCTGGAAGGAGAGGATGGAGAAGCTCTGTGGAAACGCCCCAGGCTGGGACTTACCCGCCCTGGCACATCACCGCCCACGGCTGGGAGCACAGAAGGAGCATGGGGATGGCCAAGGGCCATCTGCGTCCCGGCAGCGGCACGCTGGTGTCTCCCCGCTGTCCCCGGGCCACTGCCGGAGCACGGGGAGACGGGCGGATTGGTGCCAGCACCTGCGCTGCCCCGTCCATCAGGAGCTTGTCCCGGGCCATGGAGCGTGGCGCGGGTGCCAGCCGCCACCGTGTTTGCTTTGGCCAGGGCTCCCCTGCGCAGGGCAGTGCAGCGAGCTGCCCTCCTTCCCGGGACACGTCCGAGGCCACGTGTGCCCACGGGGCTGCTGCAGATCCCAGCTGCGCTGCCTGGTGCCCAGGGTTTCCAGCACCGCTGTGCCCGGCGTGGTGCGGCCGGCGCATCCCGCTCGCGCCGCCGGCCCCGCGGCTCCCCGGTAGCAGCCCCTGCCTCGGCTTTCCTGCTGTCCCGGCGTGCACAGCACCGCCAGGCTCCTCCGCTCCCGCCGCAAGGCCACAGGCACCCGCAGCTACTCGGGGAATGACAGCAGAGCGAGGAAGCTGGAGCACATTCCCAAGCTGCTGTCTGCAGCTGGGATGAGGGCTTGGGAGCAGGGAAGGGAGCGGAATAGGGAGCACGGCAGACAGAAACCTCCCGGAGCCTCCCCCTTGCAGGGCCGCAGGGCAGAGAGAGGCTCGGGAGCCTCGCAGGGCCGGAGTTACCTGGGGCGGGTTGTGCCGGGCCCCCGGCGGCTCCTCCGGCGGCTCTCCGAGGCGCTGGGCGCTGGCAGCTGCTCCGGGTGCCAACTGGCCCGGACAGGTAGGAGCCATTTTTATATGTGTGCCCATGTGATCTAAACAAATGCCCTAGGGATGAGTTTTTGCACTGACACAAGGAAAGGGGCTGGGACTAGAACCTGTTGAACCACAATCCAGGCTCCGCAGAAAGGAATTTTCCACTCGGAGCAATGGAGGGTGCCGTGCGCGTGCGGCAGCGTGCGGGCTGCGAGCAAGCAGAGGCAGGCTCCAAATCCATCTCCCCTTGCTGGCTCCTTGTAATGAAGCCACTTTGATTGGACTCATATTTTGTTAGCAGACTTCTACAACATTCCCAAACAGTTCCCATTTTGCATCTGGAGATGCCTATGGACCCATGGATGGTCAGTGGAGGTGTAAGAGTGCACATTAAAACCACTTGGTAAGACACAAACCGGGCAAATAACTGTCCTTTCTGCTACAGCTGGCAGAAGGAAATGCAGCAGGAGATGCGGCCAGGGCGAGACGGGTGGAGGAAGCCCTTGCTGGGAGAAGGGCAGCCCTCCCCGTGGCCTCAGGCCTTGGTGGCTCCTCTGGAGGGGCTGTAGCTGCTGCTCCTGCTGCTCCCGGGGATGTCCTGGCAAGGCGAGCACAAAGGAGGGAAGGAGCAGGAGCGGAGCACCTGGATGCGGCCGTGGGAACCGCGGGGCTGGGAAGAGCCGCAGGGCCTGGGAAAGCAGAGCAGGTGAATCAGGGCTGTGTCAGCGAGCGGAGGCTGCGGCCGGCCAGCGAGCAGCAGCTGCCCGCGGGGATAAAGGCCAGGGAGGCAGGGGAGACTTGGGCAGGGAGTGTTTCCTCCCTTGGAATGGGACTGGGGTCTTCTGAGTGGGGAATCTGCTGGATGCAGGTACTGCTCCTGGGTGCTGGGTGTTGCTTCTTGCCCTTTGGCTGGAAAGGGGCTGGGAAGAGGCCCAGAGGCAGCTGAGGGAAGAGCAGTGTGGGATGAATGGGAATGCAGTTTTGACAGGGGTCCCGGGCTGCCGCTGGTCCCCAGAGCGCGGCAGGGAGCAGGGTCCATGGTGCTGGGCTTGGCGAGCCCCAGGATGAGCGGCTCAGCCTGAGTCAGCGCGGAGGATGTCGCCTTCATGTCGCCTTCCTCGAGTCACCTCCTGGGTGTCACCTGCTCCCCTCAGGGCTTTCCCAGGGCGCAGCCAGCGCCGGCACAGCACCGCGCGGGATGGGGATGCGGGTTTGCTCCTTTTCTACGAGCCCCGCTCTGCAGCGCCTGCCTCGCGCTGCCCAGCGCGCTCCCGATGTAGGTCAGGCGAGCGCCAGGCTGCGCCCGGAATAGCAGCCCTGGCCGCGGCTGCGGAGCGCCGCGGCGGCCGCGGGAGCAGTCACAGGGCGCTGCCGGGCGCGGGGGCAGCGGCTGCAGGGCCCTGTGCCCGGCGGCCAGGGTCACCCCCCTGCAGCGTGCCCTCGCAACGGCGCCTCGCTGGGGCTCGGGGTGCATTTGGGGCTGCAAGGGGCTGCCCGCTCGGCCTGTGCTGTGGAGCGATGCCCCTGCGCTGCCCAAACCTCCCAGCTCTCCAGTGCCGGCCCCTGACAACACCCCTGGCATCCGAGCGCTGGCTTTGGAGCTCAAATCCGGCTGCTCTCGGAGGCAGGAGCTTCCCCAAGCCCGGTGCGGCGGAGCCCTTTGAAGCCACTAAGAGCCTCAGGCAGCGCAGAGGGGCTGCTGGAGCAGCGGGTGCCGTGGCCCAAACACCATTTGGCTCCGGCCCCGGCATTTATTGGGATTTTGCTGCTTGTGATGGTGGCAGTGCTTAATCCAGCATGACCGAGCCCAGAAAATGGGGCAGGCGGCAACGCAGCTTCAGGCTTTGGGTGACTTAGGGAGAGAAGGGAGAACAAAAATCCTCCCTGCCGAGCTCTGAGGCTGCTCCCACATGGATCTGCTCCTTGTGTCCCATCCGCAGGGGTGATGCAGCCCCGGAGGGATGCTCGGGGGCTGCTGCGGGTGTTTTGGGGTACGAGCAACCCCAAATCTTGCAGAACACATGCGAGACCTGAAAGGAGCCCTGGACTGATGGCAAATGCCGCCCTGGCCACCTCAGAGGGGCCTGCGCAGCTGGAAGCAGCCCGAAACGGCTCCCCTTGTGCAGAGCCAAAGCCGCGGTCTGGGCGCAGGAGCAGAGCCATCCTCCTGCTCCGTGCAGCACGCACAGGGCAGAGCTTGTGCTCAACTTGTACTGGGCAACTTCCCCGCAGCACGAAGCAACCGAAGAGGAAGCAGCCTTGTGCCAGGCTTCCTGCTTTGGGGCTGGGGAAATTCGCCTTCTTCTCCACCGGTGAGCGATTAACCTCTTGCAAGAGCGGAGGATACTGAATAATTTAAGGGAGGAAAGATTGCAGAGTCAAATAGCTGTGGGTAGCACGAGGGCTGCCTTCAGTCGGGGCAGAAACCTGGCAGTGGATTTTAGCTGGAACTGGTTAATCTTAAACCAGCATCAACAGGAAGCGCCTGTGTCGGGCTGCGCAGCTCCAGAGCTCGCCAGCATCCTGTGTGTTTTGAGCCACGTCAGAGTGAGAAACTGCTCCTTGCAAACAGATTAGGGTGAAATTCTGCTTGGGAAGCGGCTGTTTGGCTTTGATGAAGCCCAAGTGCTCAGGAAATGAGCGGTGCAGCGGGAGCTGTTGCACTCCTGAGCTCGCTTTGCTCCGACGGGTGAGCGGGATGTCCTGCCGCGATTTGGGAAGGCGTCAGCGCGGGGTTCAGGCTGCACCGCGGCGGCACCTCCATCCTGCGGGGAAAGTCGCTCCCGCGGAGGAGCGGAGCAGGATTTCCTTTGGCAAAGCGGCGGCGGCCGCGAGTGCGGCCGGGGCGCCCGTGCTGAGTCAGGGCGGCTGTGCTCAGCGGTTACTCACGCGAGTTGCTCGTTGCCGGCGCAGGGCCTAATTAGAGGTTTGTCCATCGTGGAGCGTGGGAACAGGGAGCCCATTAGCCCCCAAACCTCAACATCATCCCCATTAAACTAATGTAGCTAATTAGCCCGGTGCCTTATTCTCACGGCGCTGACAGCGGTGCAGGCACCCGTGCTGGCTCTGCGTGCCGGCGCTTCATTATATAATGATCCGGCGTGTGCAGCAACACCCGTTCCTGCTGACAGCGCCTGTTCGCTCCCCCAGTGCCGCCTCATCCGGCGCGGAGCGGCCCGGCACCCTCCCCGCTCAGCGCAAACGAGTGCAATTCCTCGCTAATTAGCAGGGAAGCTTTTGGGGGGAATAGAATGAGAGTCGGGGAAGGGCTGCCTGGCCCCTTCCCTTGTGGCTGCTGCCCCTTCCCACACCCCATTCCAGCCCCTTTCTCCCTCCCGGGAACCATCCCCGCGGCAACCCCTGAGCACGGCGCAGGGTGGGATGGGGCTGGCGCAGGTAGTGCTGCTGCTCCTCAGCTTGCTGGGCACTGCTGGGGGGGCTGCGGATGCGCACTGGGGTGCCGGGCACCCCCGGGTTTGCTTCTTCGAGCCGCTGGGCAGCCAGGATGCTGAGCTGTGCAGGTGAGCGGCTGCCACGGCCTCCGGAGTGGAGCCTGGGTTTGCCCGCTGCCCAAGGGAATCCTTTTAGGCCCCATTTCCTCCTGTGGGATAATGGAGGGGGAAAACGCTCCGAAATAGGGGTGATCATCTGAGCCCTCGATGTGGGGTTGGTGCCGGGTTGCTGGGCCCAGTCCTGTCCCGGGCACGGGACGAGGCCACCCATCCCTCTCCCTATTTTCCAGGGGGGAGCTGGAAGTCGTGTACCCCGAGCTGGGCGACGTGGGCTGCACCTACATCCCCGCGTGCCGCCGCTACCGGTGGCGCCTCGGCCGCGAGTGGAGCAGCCCCTGCGTGCGCTACGCGCGCGCCCAGCAGGTAAGAGCACCCCGGGGCGCCGGGCGCTGGAGGGGCCCTCGCCGGGAGCCAGTGCCCGGCAGAGCATCCAGGGCGCGGGGAAGAGGCGCTTGGCTCTGCACTGCCCCTCCACAGGCACCCCAAAGCACCCACCGGGGTGCTCGATGGCCTCCTGTCCTGGGGGTGCACGTGTTCCCGCTTTGGCGCCTGTCCTCCTCGCTGGGGTCCCCTTAGCCACGCAGCTGGCGCCTGGGGTCAAGGCCAGGCTGGGGGGTGACATGGGGATGGGGTGGCGATGCCAAGCGTGGCGGTGCGGCGGGAAGGGCACTTGCACGGCCCGCTGTCCCCCGGGCCCTCTGCGGACGCTGACGCACTGCGTGCCGATGGGTGCTCCTGCAAACGGGCCTGCGGCAGAGCGGGGTGCGCCAGGTGCCTTTGTGGGGCCCTTTGCCATGTCCCCGCGATGCCACGAGATGGCACCATTGAACTGCACTCGCTGCTGCCGCGCCGGAGCGCGGGGAGCAGCGGGACCGGAGCGCGGGGAGCAGCGGGACCGGAGCGCGGGGAGCAGCGGGACCGGAGCGCGGGGAGCAGCGGGGGCTGCAGCGGGTGCAGGGGCTGCGGGCCCTGCCCGGCCCAAGGGGCCAGAGCCCCATGGTGGTATGGGCAGGTAGCGAGGCGCGGCGTGTCCCGGCATCGCGTCATTCCCACAGGGAAGTGCTGCCCAGCGAGGGGCCCACGGCCCTGAGTGCCACAGCAGCCCCCAGCCCCTCGCTGCGTGTCCAACTGTGTCTGGATGCACCAAGAGTCGCTCTCCCTGCTGCCTCCTCGCGCCTGGAAAGCCTCTTCCCTCACTCGTCACGTGGCTCCAAGTATAACTCTCCCTTAAAGATGTCTTTTTTTTTTTTTTTTTTCTCCAAAAAAAGCCCTCCCTGGCAAATGCTGCCATAGCTAAAACGATCTGTGGCTTGGGCACCGCTTCCTGTCAGTAGCTGGAAACTTCTCAGGTTTCTGAGCAGGCAAGAAAAAACATCTCCTTTTTTTTCCTGCCTTTTTGCATTTTCCTGCAGCCCTGGGCCCGGGGGATGAGCAGAGCCTGGTGCCTGCCCAGCTGTACCATGGAGGGCAGCGGCCTCCCTGGCTTATGGCAGTGCGAGCCGGATGCCAAGGCTGCTCCGGCTTGGATGGGTGTCCTGGGTGGAGGTTTCCTTGGGGCCGGTCCCGGGGGAGCTGGGGCTGTCTCGGAGCGGGGCATGGGCGGCATGGTTGGTGGTGCTCCCTGTGCAGACGGGCGCAGCGTGGCGCCACGTGCAGGCGGGTGCCAGCTGAGGACACTGGCTCCACTTTATTCCTTGGCCTCTTCCCGCTGTGTCTGTTTGGGTGGCCCCGGAGCCGCGGGAATGCCCCCGCCCCCGTGGGAAAACTGGTGCCCTTTTTCCCACGGGCGCAGAGCAGGTTCGTGTTGTCTGTGAGCTCTGCCTCTGTTTTTCCCTATAGCCATCCCAGCTTGTTATTCCTAACTCCTGAGGTGGCTGGGAATGGCCAGAGCAGATTCCCAGGAAAGAGGAGACGCGGTGGGCTCAGCCCAGCCCGGCTTCCTCACTGCGACGCCGGGAAGCGGCTGCGCTCAGGGCTGGCGACGCGCTCGCCGTCAAACCCGCCGGAGAAAACTAGGGTTTGGAGTATGAAAACTTGTGTAGGAAGTGTCTGCGTTCGGTGGAACACTTTGTCTCCTCAAGAAAAACAACCACCAAAAAAAGCCAAATGCAGAGTGTTTGTGTTTTCTTCTTTTTTTATCTTTGGAAATATTTATCAGTTTTCAGCTTGTGTCGGGGAGGGGGAGTGGAATATTTTCCCCTTCATCCCAAGGGGCTGTGACGAGTCCAGTGGAGGCTGCGTGTGGATAAGGACAAAGGCAGCAGCCTCACAACCCCCTTCTTGGTGGCAACGTGTTCTCCACACAGCCCATGTCCAGCTAGGGGTTTCCTTGATCCAAAATGACTTCAGCATCCTCAGAGGCACTGCTCTTTGCCTTCCTTTATGAGTCACTGTCTGGAAAGGCCGCGCGATGCAGCTGTAAAGAGAATGGCACTGGGGAAGAGGGAACCTGCAGTCAGGGCAAGGTGGCATCAGATGGTCCGGGTGCTTTGGAAAGCTTCTCACTCGGCTGGAGTGGTGTGGGAACATCTGGATAGATGGGAAACACTCCCTCCTCATCCCGTGCATGTCTCGATATTGCTTTGCTCAACCAAAAATAAATTGGAAAAGAAAATTGGACATTGCATCAATGTGGGGGCAAGTTTATAAATTCTGCAGCTAAGCAGTCCCCCTAGAAGATGATAGATCGCCGGCGAGCACGCGGGTCCTGCCGTGATGTATGGCCACATTAGCCGAAATGCTGCATTACATGATTCTGCTTTATTACCACTATTGGTGGCAGACAGCAAAACAGATTATGCCCAGGATCAAATCGATAGGAACTTTATTTACTGGCCGTTTAAAAACATATTTCTGCACTTTATAAAAACATACGGCAGATGCTATTGATAGGGCTTGGCGGCTTGTTAAAAAGCAATTCGCCCTGAGTGCCGCTCGTGAGCTGTGGTTCCGGCGCTACCTGTTACCTGCACAACGCTTGACGACTTCCTTAGGGGCTGCTTGCGCTTTGGAGGCGCTTGAAGGGGTCTTGGGAGCCGAGAGCCAGTGCGATGCCGCGCGGTCGCCTCCTGTGCCCTCCTTGGGCTTTGGGTGGAAAAAGGGTGGAATCGGCACGTAAGACAAAGCGATTCCGCAAGTGCGCTCGAAGGGAAGGCGCTCGCCCGCACCCCACGGCACCCCGCGTGCTGCGCGCGCACGGCGCGCACCGGAGCGTGCGGAGCCACCTTTGCCACTCGCCCTGGCGACAAAGCAGCTTCATCTCATCTCGCACTGCACGGTGCACTTATTCCCCCTAAGCTATATCTTTTCATATATTATTATTAAATAAACAAGGCAGAAAACACACGTTTGTTTTGCATGGAGGGAGGATGGAAGCATTTGGTAACTAAGTCATCTCTCCAGCAGTGCATAACTGCTAGGCTGGATTGCTATGGTGCTGGAGGGGCTGGGAATGGGGCTTCCCACCACTTGCCAGCCGGCACCTTTGCGGAGCACCTTAGGGTGCTCTGGGCGCGCAGCCTGGGCTGGGGAATGCAGGAGCTGACATGGAGGGCTCGGCCGGGCTGGAGCCCCTTGCTCGGTGCCGGCGCTCTCCGCGGCACGTGCCGGCGTGGGCGCCGCGCGCTCGAGGGCCCCTTCGGAAGCGCCGCCCCCGCGCGCGGCTGCTCCCGGTGCCAGAGCCCATCTGGGCCCGGGTGGCAGCTCGCCGGGCCCCGCGGGGCCGTGTCACTTTGGCTGCGTCTCCCGGCGGCTCGCGGGGCCCCTCGTGCCGCGTGCCGCGCGAGCCGGGGCTCGGTGGCGGGCTCGCTAATGAGCCGTGCTTAACGAGGGCTCCTCGCCCCTGCCCGGCGCCGTGGGGCGGCTCCCAGCTGATGTGATGTGATGGTGGCAGCGGCTCCTCGGGGGCAGCACCCCCGCCTGCCTCCCGCGCGCGCGGGGCACGGCGGCATCCTGGTGCGCGGGGCGCCGCGTTACAAAACGCTTGAGTCACCGCGCTCCCTTTCCCCCGCCGCGAGCAGCCGCTTGCTCTGGGCGGGCCTTAAGGGAGGGGGAAAGAAGAAAAAGAAGGGGGGAAAAATAAAGAAAAAAAAAAGGGGGGAAAAAGACTCGGGAGCGAACACGCGGCCCTGCCTCCCGCGCGGCGCGGAGCGGAGCGGCCCCCGCGCCGGTGGCTCCGCGCTCTTTATGTAAGCTGCTCGTGTTCCGCCGAGCTGCCGCTGCAGGAAAGCCCACGCTGCCCACGCCGGCTCTCCCGGGCCGCGTTGCGTAACGGCGGCCGCGCTCGCCCCGGAGCGCCCGGCACCGCCGCGGGCGCCGCCGAGCGCGGCCCCGGCTCTCCGGCCACCACGGCATCCCTGCGGCTTCGCTATGGAATCACCCCGCTCGCGCAAGCTCGGGATTCTCCATCCTAGTGCTTGACCCTTGCAAACCGTCCTGGGAAGCAGGATGCAGGTTCCTGTGCTCTGAGCCCTCTCCCACGGCCCACGCGCATTTGCACGCTTGCGCCACGGCCCCCACACCTGAGCTCTCTCCTGCTGCAGAAAAGGCCCCGAAATCTCCCGGACCGGACGGCGGGAGGAAGGTGCATTATCATCTCAATGGCTTCTTACATAAATAGGGAAGAATAAGAGCGCGAGTGGCTGGCGTTGCCACCGCGAAGCGCTATCTCGGTTATCAGGTTTTTAGTTCTTTGCAGCGTTACATTTTTATACATATTTATTCACGCCGAACCAAGCTGCTCGCCCCGCCACGGGGCTGCTGCAGACACTGTTATACATAAGAAAGCACCTTCATTTACATCCCTGCCACTCTGCAGCAAGCGAGCGAGGTGCAACCCGGTTATTTTTATTCCGTATGTGTGGTTTTTTAAAGTGAAGGAAAGGGGGGGAAAAAACGCTCTAAATTTGCCCTTTTTACTTGTATTAAAACTTCCCTGCTGCATTTTTATGAGCTCCAGAAGTGCAGCGCATTAGCGAGTGCCACTGGGAGCGTTTAGGGTGAGGAGCGAGCTCGGAATCGCTTCCCTCGGAGCAGTGCTGCTAACTGCCTGCACGCCGCTCGTCTCCTGCTTTATTAACTCGGGGCCAGCGCGTTGCGTTCCTGGATATTGCTTGGCTTGCTCTCGAGTATCAAAGATGACTCCGTGTTTTCTATTAAGACCCGTTTCCCCTGTAATTGAAATACTGATACGCTGCTCTTCCCTCCTCCCTTCATTTTAGGCATCGGGTTTCTCCATTCCCCAAATCCCTATTTTTGGCCCAACCTTTATTCATCCTGGAGCGAAGGCTCCGGCACTGGCTGGTCCAAGCTGGGCATGGAGAGGGCTCGAGTATCCTGCGGGATGCTGGACCGGGATGCACTGA